GGCCGCAGGGCCCCCCGCAAGTGGCCGTGGGTTCCGCCTGCTGCTGCTCCCTGCTCTGAACGTGGGACCCGGGGGTACCCTCCGGGCTCTTTGATACTCCCTGTGGTGGAGACTAGGCAGCCACTGAGAGTTTGAGGGAGAGAACATCACCGTGCGGTCCAGCTGTTAGATGCGGCGCGGCGTCTCCTCACGTCGGGGCTTCCGTCCCGGTACTGCTCGCACTTGGACTGCAGCTCTCTTTAGCGCGTCCGTCCTGGACCCTACGGATGCCATGCAGCATCCCTGGCTCCACCCCCTCCATGCCAGGAGCAACCCCACTGTGACAGCCACAGGTGCCCCACAGCCCCGTGTTTCTTGTGGGGAGCCGGTATTGCCTCTGGTTAGGAATCACCACGTTGACATTTGAAGTAGGCAGGCAGGAGATCCTGTCCTCTGTCCAGAAGGAAGTACCGGTCGGGTGGCCCCCGCCGCTCTCCCGTGTGTTGGTCTGTTCCGGGACCTGGACTTGGGGTCCCTCTGTGGCAGGCCCAGCGCTCACCAGCCATGTTGCTTGAGGCCTGAGTGTATCTGGGCAGCCTCGTCAGGACATCCGTGGTCACCATGCTGCAACGCGCCTGAAATGGAGCGAACGGAGGCCAGGGATGCGCCTCGCCCTGCAGTGCCGGACGGCGCGCCCGAGTCTGGACCCAGCCGTGCAGTGTGCGGCAGCGACAGCAGCCTGTGTGGTCGGGACGCCCTGGCTGTGCTCACGCTGCGCAGCCGCAGCACCGGCTTCCTGAGAGACGTGGAAGAGACGCTGGCGTTGTCATGGCCTTCAGCCGCGAGAACGAGCCCCTGCAGGGAGGCCCGCCCCTGGCCATTGGACCCAGGCTTCTCGTGTTTCTTCCTCTGGTCTGGGGGACTTTGAGACGGGTAGGGGTGCTCTTTCTCAGAGGTCAGGGGTTTGTGGAACAAGGCCAGCCTTGGGCCGCAGTTCCTGGCCCTGCAGAACCCTCTGCTTCCTCGTTTGTAAAACGGTCAGGAAGACCCACCCACGGCTCCACGAAGATGAAGCGAGACGGTGTGCCTGAAGTATCTAACACAGCGGCTGGGCCCGTAAGCGGCTTTCACGTTTGTGAGAAACCCCGCGAGCACCGTGTTTGTCAGTGCTCCTTGTCCTGGGCACGGGAGCCTTCACAGGAGTGTGAGTGAGATGCCAGAGCATAGCCCTTCCACATCGAGGCCGCAGCGGCCCCGACGCCCTCCAGGCTGCTCTAACAGCAGAGCGCGGCGAGGTGGGCAGCCCAGCCCCAGCTCGCCCGCAGTCACGCCCACGCACCGAGACAGGACTCGCCTCCTGGAGCTGCGCCGTGTGCAGGGGCTATGGGGACGGGGGACTGCAGCGTTCCGGCCGTGAGCACTCTGGGTGCTCAGTGTCCGCTCTGTGTCCCCAGCTCATCAATGAGAACACCGACGTGGCTGACATGGAGAATGCCGGGCATCCCAGCTCAGAGACACCGACAGCGACCAACTACTTCCTGCAGTACATCAGCTCCAGGTGAGTCGGGGCGGCTGCCACGACTGGGGG